GCAGTAAATGCTTAGGACTTTTTAGTAACCCTCCTTTTGTGTGCTAATCAAATGAACATTAAAATGTCTGTTGGTCATAGCGGTTTGTGAGATATATTCCTATAGCAGGTAACGCTGCAAAGCTCTAAACCTTGCTCTAAGTTATGCAAAGAGTGGAGACAGAGATAACCATGTGGAAGTTGGTTACATCTAGGCCATGTGTTATTTCTGCATGTAGGTAGTCTTCTCTGTATCATTAAAACTGCTGTAGATGCTAATTGGAAGAGAACTTTAGATCCTAGATATTATAAAAAATAAATATGAAATACCATTGCCACACTGGGGACATAATGGAGGGTGGAATGGGAGACTTAGGAAGGGATTCTATCCTACAGAGAGGGCAAAGGAAATGTTATGTAAGATGGCATCAGTACCAGTATTAATTATGCTAATTAATACATTCCAAGTTACCAAATTAGATCCCTTACAAACTTGAAATTTTATAATTTATTGTTAGTTTGGCTTTGAAAAAATGATCCAAAATTTATGTCATGTAATTTATAATTAAAGGAAAACCTAGTACAATGATACTGTATTTTACTGTTGAAGTCTGTGTTGGGATTAAATATTAAGAAGAAAATCACTGTTCAAAAACAACTGAAAGGGTAAACATGTTTAAATACTTAAACAAATGTGAATATTTTTAATTCCAACTCACTCTGCATACATATCCCAGTGGTTGCACTGCCCTGTTCAGTTAGTTATTGCTTCATGTGTGGATGGCCAATCAGCTTCATATATGAAGGATGAGAGGCACCTGAACTGGCCAACCATGACAGCAGACCTTCCTCAGGGAAGTCAAGTCCATCATTGCATTTTTCATTCTTCAGTTCAAATATTATAAGACCTTTCATGTGCTGCTGTCTTTGTTAAAGACAGAGGCTCAAACATATCATCACTTCAGGCCTTCACACCTGTGTCCTCTTTCAGTGTTTATGGCTACTGTCTTATCCCAGGCTTCCATTTTACTTTCATGAGACCATTTGAAGGGACTTGTAGTTGGACTTTCTCCTTCTGGTCTGCACATTACTCACTCCATCCTTTATATTTTCACTATACTTATCTTTAAATTAGGAAGCTAAGTATGTTATTCTTCTGCCCCACTGCCTACAACATAAATTACTAAATATTTTGTATGAAATGCAAGACCTCCATATTCAACCATTAATGATTGTTGTCTCTAAGTACTTAACCACAGTGTTCAATACGTAGCAGACTCTCAGTAGATAAATGTGTGCTAAAGTGAATTAAGGGTAATTGAGTCACCCTTCCACCAAATTATGTCCTGGTGTACAGAAATAGATGAATTTTGATTGTTTTGGGCAATTATCTTAAAGACTTCAAATCCAGAAACTCTTCAATTTCATAATTCTTCTGATTAGCCAATTCCATTTCATTCAGTTTCTTTGATGATAATTAATTAATAATAGTAATATTGTTGACTGTCATACAGAAGAAAAGAAGATAATTTTTAAACAGCTTTAATATTTCCAAAAGATGTTTTAAAATCATTTTTTGTATAAATATTATGTCCTTAAAATAGATTCTCTGAAACAGAATTCCAGGGCCAAAGATTATTTATCACTTTAATCCTTATGACATATATTGTAAATAAGCAAATCAGCTTATTTAAAAAAGCAAATCAGCTTAAAAAAGCAAATCAGCTCAGACTCAGATTTGTAATGTTCTAACTAATTTATAACACTTTATTTAATTGTCGATAAAAAGCACATTGTTTCATACATAACACAAATTTGACCTTTTAAATTTAAATACCACAAGGGGTCTATTATTACAAGAAAGAGATTGATTCACTCAACAAACATTTCCTGAACACCTAATATATACAAGACCCCATCCCAGAAAACTAAATAGAGTTATAGAAATTAGGTTAAGTGAAAAAATGAGTATGTAAACAATCAAAATTCAAAAGTTAGTTTGGAGTTAAGTGAAAGCGTTTGTTCTTAAAAACATTACGGTATCCTTCAGGATTATTCTTTAGTAGAACCTGCTAATTATTTCTCAGAATGTGCTGTCCTATGATTTGCTTTTTTTAATTGCACAAACATCACAGGTACACAAGAGTCTTACACCTTTCCTTGTAAGATATTTTAAAATCATATTTGGTCTTCAAGACCAAATGTATCATCAAGCCTTAACCTCTGAAACCAAGCAATTTATGTGTATATTTTATTCATATTTTAATTTCTATTTACATCCCGGAAGTGGCAAATGATACCTATATAGTTTTAAGTATTTTGTAAAGAAGCACCATAAGATTATTGTTTGATGTATCTAATATTAGATGGTCTAGTTAGCAAGGTAATTGGAAGAATTTTACAAATTTCTGTAATATTTTAATTCTTACCTAATTGAATTAAATCTTTAGCTCCAAAGTCCCTAATAAAAAGTATAAAATAATCAAAACTATTTTCAAAAGTTTTTAATTTTTAAAGGAATTAATATATGGTTTATTCAATCATACATTAAAAACTTGTGAAAACAAAATAGAAACATACTTCATAAAGTTAAATTAAAATTATTCAATTTTATTTTTCAGATACTTTAATTTTCTTCAAGGGGAAATATTAAATGAAACATAATCATTAGTTTTCATAATTTAAAAATTTTTTTCTCTATAATTTTAGAACTTTAGAGAACCAAAATTTTCACAAATCATTGACATTTCGTTTCTTCATATTTTCTTAAATTAAAAACCATGTTTATTCAGATTCATGCACATCTTTGTTTCAGAAAAACTATTGCTACAACTTGGTTAAAACAAAAAGAAATATTTTACAATTATTAAAATACTGGCTTATATTAAAGTTGATTTACATTAGACAAATGTTCAAAAGGCTTGTATTGGAATTTGGATCTCCATCCTCTACGAATACATTCATGAAAACATTTAAAACTTTATAAGTAATCAAATAAAACTAAAATAATCTATCATTGTATATTAGTCCATTTTCATACTTCTAATAAAGACATACCTGAGACTGTGTACTATATAAAGGAAACAGGTTTAATGGACTCACAGTTCAGCCTGGCTGGGGAGGCCTCAGAAAACTTACAATCATGGCAGAAGGGGAAGCAAACACGTGATTCTTCACATGGCAGCAGCAAAGAAAAATGCGGAACAAAAAGGGAAGATCCCCCTGTAAAACCATCAGATCTCATGAGAACGAACTAACTATCATGAGAACAGCAGCATGGAAGTAACCACCCCCATGATTCAATTACTGCCTGCTGGGTCTTTCCCACGACATGTGGGGATTATTGAAAGTATAAGATGAGATTTGCGTAGGGACACAGAGCCAAATCATATCACATTGCTACACGGTTATTCTTCTTTATCTAATTAGATAAGTTTTAAAAAATGATAATATGCCACTTTCAGCAATGAAGTTAAGCACTTGGAGTTAAGCACTCTGGCTCACTCCTGGTAGAAGTGAAAGCACAGCTTTTCAGAAGGCTTAAATGTGACCTACCCTTTAACGCAGCAATTCTCCTACTGTGAATTAATCATAAAGAAGTAGTGAGCATTTACAAAAATATGTGTGTGTTTGTGTGTCAATATGTGTGTCTGTGTATGTGCACACAAACAACTACATATAAATATATACCCACTTGTAGTGTGTGTGGACCAGAAGTCAGTGGCAATAGATTGAGGAGTAAATGGTGACAAAGGCATTGATGGTAAACAGGTCTTCCTAGGAAATTACTTATGAAAGACAGAAGAAAGAGCAGAGTAGCTAGAGCAGGAGGTAGGACCTGAGGTATCTTATTTATGTTAGGGGAGATTTGAACCGGTTTAAACATTAATGAGAAAGAACAAATAAGCTAAAAATAGATAAGACCAAGGGAGAAGTGAAGGAGGAGGTCACCAAGAAGCAAGAGGTATAGAATTGGCAGCACAGATGGAGGAAGCAGCTATGATACTGGGCTGGGAGGGAGTTAGCTACGGATTAACACATGTGTGGGGTGGTGAGGTTGGAACAGTGAGACAAAGAGAGAGGGAAAGACACCAGAAAGGAGATGTGGTGAGACACAGAGGATTTAACTAGAGGCAAAGCCACAAATTGCTCCTTTGGGAAATGAATTTTTAGTATTTAATGCCTCACATGCAAAAAACAAAAATCGGAACTCATTCCATTTGTATTATGAGGACTGATATTATTCTAAGACTGCCTAATAATAATAATAATGAAGGTTATTCACAATCATAACTAAGCCAAGTGTAATATTAAAATGTAAGATAATTTCTTATAATTTTGAAAAGGAGTTGATCATCTTTATCGGTAAAGCGCCAGTTAGTAAATATTTAGGCTTTGTAAGCCATATAACAAATATCTCAACTGCTCAATCCTGTCATTATGGTTATAACAAAATCAGCTATAGATTACCCCTAAAGAAATGGGGGTAGGTGTGTTTCAATAAAAGTTTATTTACAAAAATGTATGGTGGTCTAGAGTTGCTGACTTCTGGCCTAACATAAAAATCAGTGAAGAACTGTTAAGCTCAAGCTTGTGTTCTTTCAGGGTGTTTTAAGCTTATGCCTGATTATCAATATAGTTTATGGATCAAGGAGATTTTCTTCTATTTGTAGCAGAAGAAGGGAAAGAACACCTACTCTGTGGTCTGTGGTCCTAGATTTTAAGGACGATTCTTTCACTTGTACTCTTTGATTACTTAAAACCTCTGAGCCCTAGTTTTTAAAGGAATTAATATATGGTTTATTCAATCATACATTAAAAACTTGTGAAAACAAAATAGAAACATACTTCATGAAGTTAAATTAAAATTATTCAATTTTATTTTTCAGATACTTTAATTTTCTTCAAGGGGAAATATTAAATGAAACATAATCATTAGTTTTCATAATTTAAAAAATTTTTTCTCTATAACTTTAGAACTTTAGAGAACCAAAATTTTCACAAATCATTGACATTTCGTTTGTAAAACAAGGTAATGACCCTGTATTTAATCCTCACAGATTAAAATGAGAATAAAATGTAAATACCATAAAAATCTGTATTATTCATATATAAGGAAATCATCATTTGCAACAAAATCAGAGAATGTTGATTCAATCTCCATATCTGTAAGACCTTGACATTACAACTATATACTATACATATAATACCATTCCCCTAATAATTATCTTAAGTGAAATAGTAATGTATGCGAAGTGCTTGGCTGCATTGTCCAGTATAGCTTATATGCTCAATAAATACCAGATCATGTTCTTAATGTCTAAAGGCCCATTAAAATTGTCCAGTGCTTCTGACACATAGCGCCTGAAGGGGCAAAATCAAGTTATTCCAAGTCAAGCACAATGCTGACAATGCTAGTTGTGGGCAGGGCAGTCACAAAATACTTTTCAAGTAAGCCTCCCAGGGCTGCTTTGCAAATTGTTTAAGAATGGGTATTGGCAATTGTCACGGAGCCCAGTGACTCAGAAGCTGAGTTTTGCATTCTGAGTTGAGTATCAGGAGAGAGTTTTCATTCTTCTGTGATTTGGAAGTTACAGTCCCAGACTAAAAGGAAGGCATCTGTTTGATTCTATAGTAACACAAACATAAAGAGACCAGATGAGACGGCATAGCTACCCCGGGGCAGCTTTAAATTAAACTGCAAATGTAGTCATCAGCCCTTTGGAGGAACATTTGCCCCTATTTGTTCAGTATGTGCAGCTTGTCCACCAGACCAGGGAATGCTTGGTTATTATGTGATTCCACCCCATTAAAGTTCTTCCAGCCACCCAGGAGGGGAACGGTAAGCAGCAATCAGTTTTCCCTGAATGAAGAACGATTCAATGAGGGAGAAATGTGCAGTGCAGGTGCAATTCTAACTCATTTCTGAGTAAATATATAGAAAACTTTGTGGTCAGGTGTGATTCATCAGAAGGAAAAGCATTCTCTATAACAGTTAACCTACATTTCAAGCAGAGATTGGGCTTTATTTTTCCTGTCTTTTAAAATATTTTATTTTTAGTTCTTAGTGAAATCAGTGGGAATCAACACTGCTGCCAGGTTATGTGGTGTTATTCAAACATGAACCTTCACCTGGAACACCTGTTATCTGCAACAGTGATGATTAGGATTTTGGCATTTAATAAGGCATGTGTCCTCTGTAGTTTTAAACCCCAGGCTTTCATGTAGACTTGTTTTTGACATGGTGCACTTTTAGATCCTGAATATGGGGACTACATACTATGCATTTGGTTCAAACATTGGATACAGGTGTCCATTGAAATTCCCTTCTTCCTCTCACTTTCCATATCAAATAGATACAATTTTTCACATTGCTCTTTTGTCAGGTTCATAATCATCATCTCAAAAATTCATGACATTTATTGTTTGTAAGATTTTATTTTTAATCATTCAAATAGGACTTTTAAAAAATGTTATAAAAAAATAGTAACTTAACAAGATTATAGTTGCTATGCATGAATTGAGGAAGGATTCAGCCCCAGATCTTCTGACTCCAAATAACTTTTTAAAAATAGTATCTTTTATTAAGAATGACAAACTTTTACATAAATGAAAACACTTAAAATGGAAGGGTATTGATATAAAGAATGACATGATATAAAGAACACCAAAAATATATTGTGTAAAAAGTTTGCTTCAGCCTATATTCTATAAAGGAGTATCTCCAAAGCTGAAGATCAAAGGATACTTACACGTGTGTGGTGTGTGTTCACAAATTATATTAAACTTGTGTCTCCCTTCTGGCAAATTGGCAATAAATGAGAAATGTAAATCTCATAAGATGCTACATATTGGTTTACATGAGCCTCTGTATCCTCCTAGGAACACATATACACTTACAACCACAAGAATACTATGTAGGCACAATACTAGCTGATTTAATGTGATTCTATGATTCTTATTTATAGAACTGGGGTTTTGCATTTCCCATTCCTACCTAATTCAATCATTCAGATGGCCTGATTTACTTTTAGAGCAACGATTCCCTCCTGGGAGCAATTTTGCTTCCCAGCAAAATTTGGCAATGTCTGGAGACATTTTTGTTTGTCACAGGAGGAGGTTGTGTGCTACTCGCATCTTGTACGAGGCCATGGATACTACCAAATATCCTATTATGTACAAGACAGTCCCCCACAACTAAGAAATATCCTGCAAAATGTCAGTGGCACCATTGGAGATGAATGCAAACATGCTAACCGCATTCCAGAGACTAATATCTGAACAAGAATGCAATTTATTAATTTGCAATGATAGCTAGAACTGTCGAGGGGACCAGGATAGTCATATTTGCTAATGAATATATATATACTCCCTCTGGAAAATCTATACAAAAATCCAAATTAGAACCAGACATTTATTTGCTAAACATAAAGTCAATTCTAGGAAGATAGATACTCCTTATAGAACTTATCACAATTAAAATCAATCATTTGTGTGATTATATATATATTCCTCCTCTTCAAGTCTAAAAAGTCTACGGGGACATGGAATATACTTCAATATGCATCACCTTAACCATAGTATATAACTGTACTGTCCAGCATATAGTAGGTACTAACAAACATTTATTGGATCCATGAATGAATGAATCCTTAATGTTTCAGTGTACAAATTCATATTAAACATATAACATGTACAAAGCACTATTTGAAGCATTCGGATTACAAAATATAATAAGACAGTTTCTACTTGTGTGGAGGTTCCTGAATTCTGATTGACTAGATGGACACTACCAGTTAAGTCAGGCTGCTGAAGCCATAGCCTTCCCTGCCAACAGGCACCATAGAAGATCTGAGCCTCAGCAGCCCTGTTAGGTATCATGTGACTCTGTCCCTTGGCCACATTTGAATGGACTGGGGAGAAACAGTATGAAAGCAGAAACTGGCAGCATCCTATCATCTGAGCTTTAGCAAAAAGATGGACCCTGACAAATCAGATTCCCATGCTTGGGTATTTAAAACTACTAAATGACTGAAGCAGAAGTGTAAAGAGAAGTTAAAGATAATGTAGTGTTTTGAATGGTGATCCCCCAAAAGACGTCCAACCCAAAACTCGTGACTGTGACCTAATTTGAAAAATGCTTTTGTACTGGTAAGTAAAAGATTTAAAGATGAGATCGTCCTGGAATAAGTAGATGGGTCATAAATCCAATGAGCGTGTCTTTATACACGAGACAGAAAGGTTTGAACACGCAGGAGAGGTTCATTGAATGAAGGCACAGACAGCCAGTGAAGTTACGTGGCCACAAGCCAATGAAGGCCTGGAGCAGACAGAAGCTGGAAGAAGGAAGGAAGGACCCTCCCCTGGAGCCTTCAGAGCTAGTGTGGTCCTGCGCACACCTTGATTCTTGAACTTCTGGCTTTCAGAACTGTCAGATGTGTTTGTTTCTTTCAGCCTCTGCACTTTGTTATGGAGCCTTAAGAAACTAACACAAATGTCTAGAAAGAAGAAATATATAGGAGTAAAAGTCATGAATAGCAGCTTGTAACCACTGATGTAATATGGAAGAAGCAACTGAATAAAGCAAAAGCTTTGCAATAGAGAAATAACACAGTTTGGAGGAAAATACTGAGCTTTGGAAGTGGCCCCAGGTGCTGTGTGCCAGTCGCCTTCGACCTCGACCTCGACTCAGGGTGGGGGACGGTGTCCATACCCCATACTGGCACAGGGGTTGTAACACTGAGGGAAGGGAGCGGGACTTTGAACCTCCAGGAGGGTGCAAGGACACTGCTGAAAGGAATAACAAGGCTTATATCTAGGATCCATAAGTTGGACCCTGGGCATTTTTTACATGTGGGAACCCAGGCACACGAAAGCATTGCTGCTCACCTAGATAACCAGGTTCCAGTTGAGAGTCCCAGAGCTATTTTCCACACCAATGACAATGACCCGGCTAAGCATGGGGATCAGCATGAGGGTCAGCACTACAACATCTTTCCCCAGGATATGAGGACTGAATTTCCCCATGGCCTTCCTCCTCGCTTTGTGATACAGGTGAAGATGTTCAGTGAAGCTTACCTAATGGAAAGGAAACCAGCCCTAGAACTTCTGCATTAACTGAAAAAACACCAGTGTTGCTTATCCGGCTGTACGATATCTTCTGTATGGAGAGAAGGGAACAGGAAAAACCCTCAGTCTTTGCCATGTTATTCATTTCTGTGCAAAACAGGACTGGATGATACTACATATTCCGGATGCTCATCATTGGGTAAAAAATTGCCGGGAACTTCTACAGTCCAACTACAACAAACAACCCTTTGATCAACCTTTAGAGGCTTCAACCTGGCTGAAGAATTTCAAAACTACAAATGAGCGCTTCCTGAACCAGATAAAAATTCAAGAGAAGTATGTCTGGAATAAGAGAGAAAGCACTGAGAAAGGCAGTCCTCTGGGAGACGTGGTTGAACAGGGCATAACACAGGTGAGGAACGCCACAGATGAGTTGGAATTGTGCTGAAAGAGCTACACAGAGGCAAAGTTCTTTGGGTATTTTTCACCTCCTGGTGGCCGTGGATGGAATAAAAGACACATGGAATTGGATCATAGAGAGCAGCTATGCCACTTCTCTAGGTTCTGGTGTAAAGATGCACAGATTCCTGCTCTTGATAATCCCGCTGCTTTGGAAGAAGCTTCTTTTCCTGTTTATCCATTAAGAAGTCAGGCATGTTTGGGCTTTATATTTGTTTAATCTTACAGGAAACATTTCATCATTCCCTAAGGCCGAAGCGTTTTGTAAAGAATTGTAAATGGAAAATTGCAATATAAAGCAGAAAGTTGTCAACAAGTCCAGCATGCCAATGACCTAATGGACTTCCCAAGAGAAACACTTGGTCTGGCTAGAAATTCCATGAAAAGCTTCCTGCGTTAACTTATTAAATTATCCCTGCATATCTTGAAAGTTGAGTGGGTACTTTTCAACTGACTAATAAGAGATGAAATGACAAGAAAGAAAAATTTTCAAAAGAGAAAAGATAAAGAAAACTGAAAGCACAGGGGCATGAAATCATGTGGGTTATCATCCTACTATGTAATGGGATTGCGCTATCGGCACATGAGGAAGATAGAGAAGCGAAAGATACTGAAATATTATTGTCAGCAGATTGGCACGCCCTGCCTCCCACAGACTACTTTTGGCTCCATGATAAGCAGCCTCCTGAGACAACCGATGCGCCTATAGTTTTAGACGGGCTAATGCAATCCCATTCCTATGAGATTGCTTCAAAGTTACTAACTCAAGATGTATTTGAAATTTTTCCATTTTGCCCCTTCTGCAGATAGCCGATGTAATTTCCTGCACTTTTCCTGATCTTTTAGACCAAGTATGCATTTGAAATTCTGGGTGTCTTGAAATACAGGGAAACAAAGGTCTGTATTCTTTTTTTCTGGAATTTGAATTAATGCCCTTTATGTGGCATCAGTGTGAAGATTACTCAGTAGATGAGAAATCAAAGAAAAAGAAAAGTTTAAAATATGTATGTGAAAACAATCTACAAAATAGAGATGTTCTATCGGACTCCCTCTAACTAAAAAAATAAAAAAGTGTAGTTTGCATTTAGCTTCTTTTTTTGTAAATATGTGATATATCTAGTCTGTCCCAATCACTGTGCTAGCTCCCTAGTACGAAAAGGTAACTAAAAGCACAGCTTCACCCAAACATAAATTATAATTTAGTGTGTTTTGAAGGTATCATTTTGCCTCACAGTATAAGCAAAAAGCAGAAAATAGTGATTGATTAACCTTATTTTGTGGCGATGCAGCAATCTAATAAACCCAAATTTTAGAATGAAATGAAGATAACAAAATTGAAGGAACCAATATTTCTGGTTGGTGCCCACTTTTATTACAGTGCTAAAAATAAACATTGACAAGAAAGGGTAGATGAATGCCTTCTTGTTATTTTCCAGCATTGAGAGAGGTTTAGATTAGCATGTTGGGGATAGGAACATTAAGAAGTTGGTAGCCTTCACACATAAGATGAATAAATATAGATCATTATAAATGACTTCAAAAATCTTATCTTCAGATGTTCTGGCTGGGCTTATAATGAAAGGAACAAGGAATGTTAGAAAATATGGTGTCTTCACAGTCTCATAAACAATACTTTCTGAAACCTTCTAAAGAATATGCTGAAATGGATAAAGAACCCTCTGAGAAACTCCTTTTGTTGTTGGATTTTTAAAGTTGTCATAAACCACCTTTTGTACTTAACCTAAATAATGAATGTTGTTACTTTTTTGTTATATTTAAAAAATAAATATTGTTATCAAATATAATGCTATGATGTATCACTAATGTAAAATTGTGTCTTGTTAAAACAAAGTTATGCATTATTTTTGAAAGTAAATATGGAATAATATGAATGTTTAGAAGCTGATTAGGAGAAATTATTGATCTTTGTCCTAAAAGATTTTGTTACATTATTAAAAAAATTCATTTACTGAAATATGCATGCATGCACACACACACACACACACACACACACACACACACACACATACATACTTTCACACATTGTAATCAGTGTCTGTGAATAGGTAACTTTATAGTCTCCTATTTATATTCATGTTATTAGAAATTCTTATAATCTAATTTAAATGTAGAAATTTTAGAAATTTCCAGGTTAAAAATTAATATTATTCAAATTAATGAGAAAATAATTAGTTCTGAATTTACACATGAGCAAGACATAAAAATAACATATATTTATAAAACAGAACAAAGTTGCAAAGTACAGAAAAATGTAATTGTAGCAGTCATCAAAGATACGGTAACTTAAACATGGACACAATTTTTCATTCAGCAAAATTATTTAAAAGACAACCTTTTAAAAAATAATATGCATTGTAATTTTTAAAACATTCTTATTAAGGAATCAATCAATAATTATAAATATATAAATAGGATATTAGACATCTAAAACAAACAACATATGTAGAGAAAAACTTATCTGATATTAATAATTGAAAGGAACTGTAGAATTAAAGATTTTTATACGTATCAAATTATGAATATACCATAGCTAATTATATTATAAGTATTACAAGTTTAAAATAGATTGAAGTAACTATTCCAATGTGTGTGGATGTCTGTGCGGAAGTCACGTCTTTTTAAATAAAACCAGTTGCTTTTATCAGAACATTCTTTATCTGACCAAATCAGGAAACTCCCAAATTCAGCTGAAATATGGCATATGCAAAAATCAATAGGTGAGAAAGTACTTTCCGAAAATACTTTATGTAAATAGAAGTTATAATTGTTGTCTTTACAATGATCAAGAATGAGCCTTAAGTGAAGTAGCTGATACAAGCTTTAATTTTCTTTCCTACATTCTCTTTATTGTATCTCTTCCTCTCTGTCCATGGATGCCTGCCTTTTCTTCGCATCTCCTGGGATTAATTCCTATGATACTCTTCTGTCAACAATACGTGCCCTTTGACATTAAGGCCAGGTGGATTGCTGATATCTTCCTCTTGATACACTTGGCCCCTCCTGCCTTATCTTGCCCACATGGATTAGGTATGAGTAATGAACCCTCAATGGACAGTGTGAGCCTCAGTGATTCTGAATTCTGTCTCCACATTATGTGTCATTTGGGCAGATTTTCACAAGTAGGGTCATCTTCTGCCCACTGGCTGCATGCTTTCACACCTCTACCCTTAGAATCTGATTCTCATTTTTCTGGAATATGATTCAGGCATAGACGTTTTCGAAGCTCCTGAGGTTGTTTGGAGGCCCAGCCAGCTTTACTAACTTCTGGCCTAATCCTACCAATAGAATCTCATTCTCTTTGCCACAGTGCTTTATGCAAGGGTGGGAAACTCTAAGCCATCCCGTGACCAGTCACAGAGACTGGCTCAGGAAACCTCTGAGCCAAAGAGTCACCTTGCAAGACTACCTGAGAGCTTCTCAGGGAGGGGGATGGAAGCAGGAACTTCCTTTTCCTTTCCTGAAAATTTCCAGAAGTGATTGTCACTTCCTGGAAACCTTGGCCATCCTGCTCCCTCTGTGAAGATGAGGGCTGACCTACAAGAATTATAGAGAGGAGACAGTGTTCTACATGGGCTATGCTGGGTTACGGCTCTATGTTTAAATTTTTAGATCATCTGAACCAAAATATATGCGTTATTTTGGTGTTAGTTCAAGTTTGACTTTTCTGTTAAAATGAGTGCCTTCCAATGAACACAGCTTTCCTTCACACAGAGTTGTAAAAAATTGATATAACATAATATAACCCTATAATCAGAAGTATTTTCATTTTAATAAAGGTTGAGTAAATTTCTACCAAAGAATAAACCTTTTATGGTAGAATTTCAAGCATTGGCAAGTAGATGAGGTAAAGAGGGTACTTGCCTGGCATTTCTGAAATCAATTTGAACTAATTGGACACTTAGCGAAAATTTATTGAAATTGAAGGACTCTGATTCTTACCTCAGTCTTAGCTTTTCACTTATTACCTGCGTGACTTCAGTTAAATTACTTACTTAATTTCCTTAGGTTTCCTTATTTCTAAAAGTGTAAATATATCATAGGGTTCTAGTGAGGATAAAATGAAATAGTACGTATAAAAGTTATTAGTACACAGTGGCTGGTGAATAAAAATGGGACATTCTGTTTTTGTTTTTTGTTTTTTTTTTATTTTTTTAATAAACTGTACCTGACCATATGCCTATATGCTTTGTTCCTCTTAGTAATATAATAGAGACCTAAAAGTCAACTGGTAGATCTGTGAACGCATGCCAATTGTGTATAGACTCACGGCAATCGGCACCTAAATGAACTTGCTAATCAGTGATCTGAAACCTCTGACCTGACCTTTGTATCTTTTGCTTCCAAAGTGGCAGCCGAAAAGGTAAAGCAGAAATGTTTTATAGCTCTGAAGCAAAGTTTGGTCCTCCGATGCTTGCAGACACTATCTACATACCTAGTTCCATCAATTGCATCTGTAACCTTGTCTGTCTCTCCTCCTGGTATGAAATGATTATATGTAGGCAGAGACTTTCTGAACCTGCCAACACTTTGGATGACTCTTAAAACAAGTTTACTGTGTATGGGAAATCCAAATGAAAACTTAGGACACAGAAAAGTGATTCAGGGAAGTACATTTATAGTATTTCACTTGACATTAATGGAGTTTTAAAAAATGAGATTATGTCATAGAGCACCATATATGTGCTCACAGAAAGATCAATAGATATGATAAGGGACTATTTAGGAATAAGTTCCTGAGACATCTGGAATTTTCTCTCAGTGATACCATTTCCTGTCAGTTAAAGGTAGGTTATGATTTGAAAATGGATAGTGCTCTGTGTATTAGACTTTTGAGTAATAGATACTGTGGCCATACTCTTAAAACATAGAATACTCTAGTAATAGAATATATGAAGTTTTGAAACATCTTAGTGAAGTTTGAACTACACATTGCTGAATTTAGGACTTCTGTCTTTTATGTGGTACTTGATTCTAATGACTAATTTTAATATTAAAATTTTACATTTTAAATAGAACATGATGCTGAAACTAGAATATCACATCCTCAAATATTTATAAAATGCTGTGTCCTAAGTCATAGAAATTATTAAAAGACATATAGCACTGCCTGAAATTATTTAGATGAACACAGTGTACATTTATGTAATCATATAATAGGAAACTCGAGTTTTGCTAATACACATTTCTAAGTTGATATTTAAAGTAAATATCACCTAAGTGAACATTTTGTAAGTTCAAAGTCACGTTTTATAATTGGGTAGTATTGTGAAAACTTAAATAACATCTAATACATCTTTCAACATTTCAAGTGAATATTGTCTCCTGAATGAGGTACATAACAGATCAGATTCCAAATCTCTATTTAATTCAACATTTCTTTATAATACTGACATCATGGGGGAACAATGAGTGGTTCTGGATTTTTTCTTTCTTTTTTTTTGACAAGGTCTTGCTCTGTGGCTCAGGCTGGAGTACAGTTGTGCAATCACAGCTGACTGTAGTCTCTACCTCCCAGACTCAAGTCTTCTTCCCACCTCAGCCTCCCAAGTAGCTGGGACCACAGGCATAAGCCACTGTGCCTGGCTGGTTCCAGATATTTTTAAAGAAATTAAGATGTATTTATTTGTTTTATTAGCAATCCTTAGTTTTATTTAGGAAGTAATTTTCAAAGTAAGGATGCTCGCAAGGTATGGAATATGAAATATGAGAGGAAAAATTTAAACTTATTTTTAAAATTTTTAACTACAAACAGAAATAAATTAAGAAGTAATTAAGCTTTGCTCATACTTAATATATGGATAGACATTGGTGTTTCCACTTCATCAATATGTTACGTGGTCATATTATTTTATATGTGGTGCTGAGGTTTCTGAGGGAGAAGATAGATTCACTACACATCTATTTTATTTGTCTCTTACATCTTCTAAAATGAAAGATGGCTAAAGAATATTCCTACAAAAAAATCTCGGAATGGGTATTACACTAAAAATGCAAACACAATCAACATGAAAATGACAAGGTTGTTACTTGTACTCCCAATACAAAGTCTTTCCTTGTCACATCCTGAGGTAAAAATCAATGATGATTTACAAGACATTGACCAGAGATAAAAAATTATCTAGAAAGCAATTTGAAATGTGAATTCACCACTATTGTTAATAAACCTGACTTTGTATATGTATTATTGATGATTAGCTACTGTTAGTTGTTAGAATAGGAACGATTTGCAGAAATAGAAGCATTATTTTTCAAATCACACATTTTGGGGGAAATGTAAACTCAGTTGACAGCATTGCACAATCTAGAATATTTGGAGATGAGTGATGTAGGGGCAAAGTATGCTAAAATGACTTCACCTGGTGGCTAAAATAACACCAAAAAATTTATAGACATTTTATAATTTGTCAATCTCTTTTCAAATATATCATATATTAAATGACATAAATGCTTTAAAAGTTGATGCTATTTTCCCCACTATATAAAGGACAAAATCAAAATTTTAAAAGATTACACCTTGTCCATGGGCATAATTAATAAATTGAACAACATAACCTGATTTCTGATCTTTTGATTTCAAATTCTGTATTCTTCTAGCTTCTAGTTTTAGTTGTAAACAATCTACTTAATTAAAACTGAATTTGGTTAATTGTCCACCAAGGTGTCAAAACAATGCCTTTGTGTTATCTGATGCTCTTCATTTTTATTTTTTGAAAATAATTGAAATGTCAGTATTATATTGGCAGTAAATTCACCAGTTGTTCAGTGAGATTAACCTTCTTAAAGGATGATCAAAGCATGCAATAGAGGGAGCCTGACAGGGTTTGACTGCTCAATTTATCACTGAACAGGGCACAGGAAGGTTGAGTGATAACACCACTCATCACTGATCAGGGACTCATTTGTGCCATCTGGATTAGCAAAGGTTTCCCTTCCGTTTCTCTGCTCCCTGCCTCCCACGGGCTGTGACTATGATTCTTGTGGTTTCACGGCTTGCTGCTGAGCTGCGTTAGTAACTACTTGACATTTGGTTTCCCAATGATGTTCACCCGGTTTTTCTCTAATGTACAGATTCTCTGCAACATTTCTCACAGTAATTTCAGTGCTGTAGATATTTCTTGGACATTTATACAAAACTTATTGAACTCATTTCCCTGTAATAGGTAGTGTAAGTTAAGGCTTACAAAGAGGAACATAATTTGCAAATTTTAAAATAGTCTTCCCTTTAAGCAAAGTAGGTATAAATAAAGAAGCAATTTATCCTGTAGATATTGACTTGATATAGACATGGATATTAATATGTAAAACAATAATCTAAAATGAGTTTTGAAAAGAAGTATAATATAAAT